ACATAATGGCTCATACCAAGAATAAGGCTCTTAAATCACGACTATTCCTGCAGCTGTTGAATGTGAATCTTGTCTCTTTGCGTTGAAGTAATCATCTAAGGAGCTGGACAAGGTCTAAAAAGATGCTCCCAACTGGTTATACCATCGGATACATGGAAGCCCTTGAAGCCATACATCTGCCATTGTACTGCTAGCAACTATGGTGCACGTTCTGTAGCTTTGAGAACTCTGGAGCCAAGAACGACTTATAAACTTTGGTGAGTCTGAGTGTGTATAGAGTCCAGGCAGATAATTCATCCTTCCTTTATTGTCTTCTATTCTTCCTATTAAATACCCACAGCTGACTTCAATGTTTTCTTTTGAGAACGATTTCTAGACACTTCACTGATCTGGCTGCTTTCCTATAAATTAATTTTGGCGCCTGTACTCTGTAAAGGATTTACTTATAATGAGAAGCCAGGAAACTACATAAGTTTATAGCACAAGTTCAACGAAAGTTAACCAAACGAATAATAAACCTGAATATTATAAAGACAACAAGAACAATATACCTTCATGAACAACTATATATACTAGGCATCCCACTAGGTGCTTGATTTAAGTATCACAACAATCTTGTGAGAAGGACATATCCATTTTCCAGAAGAGAGATTAAGAGGAGAAGTTAATACATTAAGGTGATTAGCCAGCAATGAAATGCTAGTCCATAGTATATTTGATTCCAAAGTCTGATTTTTCACTAAATTTTATCATTTTTCTGATATTAACAAACATATTAAAAAACAGTAAAGAGTGAGGGGTACAACTCTGCAGTAAAGTGAGCACTTAGCAAGTATAAGGCCATGGATTCAACCTCTAGTACCAAGACAACAAAAACAAAAATAAGTCCTATATCAGAAAATGCCACACCAGTAATTCCAGTTTTACTGTATCTAGTTATTGGTTTGTTTGCTTACTTATTTAACAGTACTGGTAATTAAACCCAGGACCTTCACACTGAGCAAGAAAATGCCACATATATAATTCTATTTTGCAACAGTTTTACCACTCCATAGACCTTCAATTTAAAAAAAAATTTACTCATTCATTCATTTATAGCACTGATGGCTGAACCTTGCACCTTCACAATGAGCTACACTCCCATCTATTTTTTCATTCTTTGAGACAAGAACTTGCTACATTATCTAGGTTGGGCTTGAACTTGTGATCCTCTTCGTCAGCCTCTCAGAGTTCTGAGATTATAAGTGGTCATCACCACAACCAGCTGACTTCCATATTTAAATAGACATACTGGCTAGACAATAATTTGGCTATGCTGAACTTAATTAACAGAATCATATTGAAAGCTTTTTTCAATGAGCTTGGAAAATTCTAATAGTCCCAGTGTACTTGAAAAGAAAGTGTTATAAATACTTTAACTCATTAGCCCAAAAACAGATTGATAAGTGTTAAATTAATGTCTACATTCTATGGGTTTAGAGTAAGGACACTAGAATCAGACTGTCTGGTTTGAGTCTAGCTCTGAACTTTCCTAGCTATATTAGCATAGGCAAGTTAGTTTAAGTTCTCTGAGTCATAATTTCTTCCATATATATTCCATTAAGTTAATGTTAAGATATTTACATGCTCAGAATCATGCTTTGGAATTCTCCAAGTGTTGATTAATACAATGATGAAAATAATTGCACTCTAAGAACATAGTATGGCTACCTAAACTATCAGGGATCTTTAATGGCCTTGAGAAAGAAGCTTAAGGGTTTTATATGCAATGTTATTTCATTTATTAAAATCTCCATGCTCTAGAAGTACTATCTTCTTCTAGTTTTCTAATCTTAAAGTCTTTCCTTTCTAGTCCCCTTACCCACATTTTCCATGTAGCCACCATAAACTCAAGTGTTCAAATACTGCCTTCACTAAAGTCATTTTTCTGCTTAAGAAACTATAAAACTGTTGTAGCTTGGCATAACTGATGCCATCTTGAGCTCTGCACTTACCTAGTGTCCTATATTTGAACCAGAAAAATGGAAAAATAACTCAGGGTATAAGTTCTATGAGAAAAGCAGAATGAGTGTACTCATAAGAGAAAAATTAACCTGTTAACAAAAGAAGCAGGATATAGGTGTCAACCAAAATTAATGTAAGATTCTAGCTAAACTGTTTCCAACAGGATGGCTTGTTGTGGTTCTCTGTTTAAAAGCTTTGTAATTTTCCAATTCGCAGCCACTCACTCTGACTTTGAAATGGGTCCACTCAAGTAGTCATTGAGCTCAGCTAATTTAATTCCAAATTTATCAGTTTGGCTGCTTGGATTCCTATACTGTTTACGAATCTACTGCAAAAACCCCTTTACAAGATTTTACTAACAAAAGTATTTCAGGGTTTCTTGTTGGGGACCACAAATTCACAATGGCTAATTTTGCATATTTCCCTTTGAGATAAAAGGAAGGACTAGATTATCGGTACCACCCATCTGAGATTTCCCATTGACTCCTCTAAATACAAGATCATTTGCATCTTCTTGAGTCATCTCAGGATTATATTTCAGGACAAGATACTTTTAAGCATAAGATTATCTACACCCTCTTGAGTCTGAATCTTCTGATGAATTATAATCCTTTACTAGCCCCACCTATTACTAACAAATAGTGGCTGCTTTGGGAGTGGTGGTGTCCGATCCAGAGACACTGACTTCCCAGCCATTGACAGACCACTATTCTTGTCTCTCTTTTTTGCTTTTCTTGTCGTATTTTTAAGGCAGACAATCAGGACTCTTGGCCAAGTTCCTTATCAGGACTCTTGGCCGGTTTACCAATAGTTTCTCTCCTTCTGGTGTTTTTCTTCTAAATGATAAAATATTTTTCCTAATGTTACCACACCAACTCATTAGTTCTTTTAAGTTAAATCTATCTGATATGTCAGACTGTCTGTTTTGGGATGAATACATCCAACTGCGCCCCATGAAAAAACTCTGTCACTCTTAAAGCTGAGACCTAAAAAGAAAATGATTGGGATTAGGCAGGTGAAGAGATCAATCTGTGTCAATAAGGAAGAAGCTTGTGCCAAAGCCATGAAGCAAAAGCAAGGCAAGAATAAGGAAGACTATGGGTATAAGTGAAGAAAAATAATGAGAGGAAAGGTAGACCACTGTACAGTAGTGGTTAAGAGAAACAACGTACAGATGCTCCTCAAATTATGAGCAAGTTACATCACATAAACCAGCTATGAGCTGAAAATAGTAAATCAAAAATGCAGTTCAGCCAGACATGGTGGTACACACCTATAATTCCAGCACTCTGGGAGACTGAAGTAGGAAGATCACAAGTTTGAGGCCAGCTTAGGCAACTTAGTTATGTAGCAAGATTCTATCACAAAATAAAAATTTTAAAAAGGGTTGGAGATGTAGTTCAGTACGCAGGCCCTGGGTTCAATCCTCAGTACTGAAAAAGAAAGCACTTACATGTAATATACCTAAACTACTGAGTATCAATGGTTAGCCACACCCACTTGAATGTGCTCAGCATTGCTCATAACCATCTAGTATAAAGTCTGCTTTGCACTAAAGTGTTAAATATCTTGTATCTGAATTATATGCACCGAGAAATGCTGCCCAAACAGAACACTCCAGAGAGAGATGATTACTGTCCTGATCACACAGCTAAATGGGAGCTTCCATGCACTGCCAGTGCCTGCCATCCAGTACACATACTGCAGACGATTAGCCCTGGAAAAGTGCAAAATTCGAATACAGGTCCTACCAGATACGCATCACTTTTGTACCACCATAAAGTTACAAAAATTTTAAATTAAACTATCACAAGCCAGAGACTGTAAGAAAACTTTTTCAATTACAAAGTAAAATGTAATTTTTAACACACAACACAATTCAACTGCCAAGCTTGTGAACAATAAACATATTAAGATGAAATAAAAATTGCATTGAAAGGGAAATCAATGTGCTAAATCAGGTAAGAAAATTAAAATTAATCAGTAAAAGTCACAGCAAAGGAAGTCCAATAAATGAAAAGAAATATATTCTTTCTGAACAAAGGTTTCTGAACCTGCACACAAAAACTGAACAGCACAATTCAGATGAAACACATAATATGAATGGCGATTATTGTTATGAATGTGTTCAATCAGGACTAAAAAGCACTCTGGGGATCTTACAGCTTTTACAGATATACTTGCATAAATAGACAGAATTTTTAAACACATTATGCCATGTTGTAATCTCCAGGGATATCAATGTGTACTATTCGCTAGAGGACAATATTCTGCTCCCCTATCCCAGGAAAATGTGCTCCCAGACGGTTGACAGTTGGCGTATTGCTCTTACTCATCTTTGTATTTCAATACAGCTTAATTCAAATGTAGTGCTTTGCTTTTGAAACCTTATTGAGAGGTATTTTGCAAGTTATATTGAGCTGTGCTTAACCATTAATGAGTCAAATATATATTTGTGGTAAGAGAAAAAATGAAAAACCCACTAACATTACAGATAGCATCTAATTTTATTTTTACCAAAATGCAAATGTATGATTTGCAAATGTTTGACTGATTATCAAAAGTCAAACAACACGATCAATGACTAAATAAGCCATGAATTTAATGTATTGCCTTTCTGCAATGAACTTCCCCATAACTAAAGTAAGCTATACAATCTCATTTTTTTATTTTGTCTTTTTTATTTTTATTGGTACCAGGGATTGAACTCATGACCACACACTTGCAAGCAGGCGCTTATGCCCCTGAGCTAAATCCCCAACTAAAGTAATGTAAGGGAAGATCCTTTTTTTTTAAATTGGTACCGGGGATTGAACTCACAACCGCTTGCTTGCAAGGCAGGTGCTTATGCCACTGAGCTAAATCCCCAGCCCCTATATACAATATCATGAACTGATTTCACTGTCAGTTAAAAGCAAAATTTAAAGTAATTACATAATTTTCACCTTTATTCATGTTTATCAACAGTGAGAAATATGCCTTCATGCTAATCTTACCTCATTGTATCTGTTGCTGGGAATTTTTATGCTTGTTTTCCGAACTTCCATATCAACCACCAACCCCTGAACTACTGGCAAGGTATACTGGTAATTTCTGAAGTCCTGGACAAAAGCAAATTGAAGTAGAATAAAAAAAGTCATGACTAGTGGGATCTGATTTATACTATTTAAACTAGCATAAATGGAAAGAATGTCCATATTGAAAGCTTCTATTTATTCAAATAATGAAGAACTGTATAATAAAAGCTCTAATATGTATATATTCTAGCTCTCTGAAAATAGTGTAAGGAGATAAACCAAATAGTTACTCCTTACACTCAACATTAAATAGGTACTTGAAAGTTTACTCTGCTTTACCACCACTTAACATTACATAGCCTGGGCTACATAATGAGTTGAAGGTCAGCCTAAACTATAGAGTGAGACTGTCTCAACATACAAAACAAACCAAATCAAACAAAGATTATTTCAGGGCTGGGGATGTAGTTCAGTAATAAAGTTCTTTCCTATTATGTGTAATGCCCTGGGGTTTGAGCCCTAGTACCACAAAACCAAAACAAAACTTATTTCAATACTCAGAAATTTCATCAAACATATACAATGTACTGAAAAGTTTTTTTATGAAAACTAATGAATTTCAAGTAAGAAAAGGTATTTTGCAAGTTATATTGAGCTGTGCTTAATCATTAATGAGTCAAGTATATATTTACGGTAAGAGGAAAAAATGAAAAAAACCCACTAACATTATAGACAGCATCTAATTTTATATTTTTTACCAAATACAAATGTATCACTGATTATCATATATAGCATCAAAAGTCAAACAACACAATCAGTGACTAAATAAGCCATGAATTTAACATACTGCCTTTCTGTAATGAACTTCTCCATAACTAAAGTAAGCTATACAATATCATGAATTGATTTCATTGTCAGTTAAAAGCAAAATTTAAAGTAATCACATCATTTTCACCTTCATTCATGTAACTGAGTGTCTTGTCTAGAGCTCTCCTTAAGCTTTATTAGGTAGTTGAGTAGTTCAATCAGGGCAGGACAGTTTATAAAAACAATATGCTTTGCTACCTGTAATCAAGAGTTTACTTGATTTGGAGCACTGTAAAATGTAGTAATCCCAGTGACCGACAGTGCGCTAGCCCAAGGTCACCAGCCTATTTGGAATAAGGAATGTGTATGCAGACAGTAAGAGTTTAATGAATTCTAGGAGGTAAGACAATGACAGGAGGCTTCATGAACACTGCAGATATCCAAGACTGACCTTAGTCTGTGCACACATGCAGCACAGATTCTGTCCAAAAGCATCAGACTCTACAGATTTACAGAGGAGACACAAGAGAGCAAAAGACAGGAAAATAATGAAGTTTATATCCCAGTCCATATACAGATCCATCAGCAGAGAGTAAGAGCGTTACTAGCTTAAGGTATCTGAGTCCAAACTGATCAATTTTGTTATTTAGATACAGGGCAAGCCAATCTTAAAATGAAAACAACACAAAAAAATAAGGTTTTACATTTATATATTACTTCTAATCTTCACAATTATCCTGCAAGGTCACTAACACAGTAAGTGTGTTTAATCAGAGTCTGGAAGACTGTATTTCACCCTGAAGTTTCATATGTTTTCCATAGGATAGGTATACTCTAGTCCTCTCTTCCAGGATAAATCCTTACCTGCCTGAAGTAGCAGGGCCAAGGCTATTAACAAAATAGTAAAACCATTCTCTCTTCCTCCCATACAAACTCCAGTAAATTAATAATAACAACAATAAAATAACAATTTCCAACTTACTGCAAGAAGATTCATGATGGTATGCCCTGTCTCTCCAAACAATGGCTTCCGAAATCTCACACTGAACAGTGGGCAGGGATAAACTATAGAGACGGAAATGATCAGATTAAGTTCGTTAGCTTAAAAATCTGAGAAAAGAGATGTCATGGCTAATATAATTTTCAAAATGCAATTGTAAGGGCTCATTAGAACATACCAAATATAGAGCATAAAAAATTTTTAGCATGATAGCAGAGAAATACTGAAACAAGGTAAGTCTTCTGATGACCAAAATGTCTTTTTTTTTATTTAAAGAGAAAAAAAAAACCAAAACAAAGCAGTAAAAGGGTACAAGTAATACAGAATTTCAAGAAAAAAAATATACAGTAAGAAATCACTAGTTAATAGATTACATATTGTCATCTTAGAAACAGTTGTCAAAATTACAAAATTAAAGCATACAAAGTGGACTTTCATACAGTGAGATTGCAGACAGTTCTGTTCAATGATCAAAATAAGTCTTTTGATACAGCTGCTTCAAAAACAACCCACAAGCTAGGAATAGCAGTACACACCTGTAATCCCAGAAGTTGGAAGGCTGAGGCAGGAGGATTTCTGTAAATTCAAGGCTAGCCTAAACTATACAGTGAGACACTGTCTCAAAAAACCAGAAATAGTGAGGACCACACTGACTTACAAACTCACAATTTGTTCCCAAGGGTTGGTTGTCACTCGAGGTGTTAACTGAATCCTCAGGCTCCTCTTAAAGCCTTCAGTCTCTCTCCTATATACAGGTAATCTCAGGGTTCTCAGAGAGACACTGGTCCAGGATTTCTCAATTAACCTCATACAGGAAAGGATGTTCCTTCTAGAACTCTTTAAGTGTTAAGTCCGTATCTGAGACCATCTGGAAGCACAAGCTGCTAGCATTTGGGTCATAACTCAAGACTCTGGTTGTAAATTAAAATGAAAATTCCAGTCATAACCCAAGTTGTTCATATGTCAGGCCATTCAAGACTTGAGGATCCACTTAGTAAGTAAGTTAGCTTGCTTGGGCATCTAGCTCAGGGGCAGCAGGTTGCTGGGTTTAATCCCCAGCACCACAGAGGAGAAGAAAAAGGATCCACAAGGTCTTATGAAGCAACCTTTTAAAAACTGGATTCCTATGATCCACAAACCAAATATACTATGTGACATAAAAACATAGTGAAGATTTAAAACTTTAAAAAAAATTATTTCCATAGAAGACATTGCTATTAATCCCCCTCAACTTACTCTCCCTTACTTCAAAGATATTTATTTCATTGTGCTGGCCACTTTCTGAAGCAGTTCTGGAAATAGTACTCTTTTAAGTGTCTTTGCAAAATGTGATAAAAAAAACAATTCAGTGATTCTTGCTGAGTGACATCTGCTGGAAATGCCGGCTTGTAAAAATACTATGTCTTTATCTATTTTATTTAGTGGATCTGGCACCATGTGACTTCTGGCTCCTCCTTAAAGTCAAAATGATCCTGAAAGGTAAACTTTTTTTTAATCAATTCAGGACATCAAGATAGCTAGGACAGTGCAACTAAAGGCATGAATAAGAACCTCCAGAACTGCTTTGAAAAGTGGCAAAAATGATGGGATAAAAAGAAATATGCTTGAAACAAGGGGGAGTATTTTAAAGGAGGATTAATGGCAACATATTTTTTATTAATTATTTTTAAAATTTAGATATTAACCAATATTTTGATCATATTGTGTATGTCTCAATTCCTCTATGCTCAAAAAGTTTAAGAGACTTTCTCATAAGGCCCCTCCTTAAAAGACACAAATACCAGGTGACAATACTAGCTGGCTTATTCCTCAAACTTCATAGTTTGAGATGTCAGTACATGCAAAATATACATGTTGCTCCTTCTGCAGCAACACATCCCTTACTCTGTTTTACTTAGCTGATCTGTTTGCTTCCTTCAGAGTTCCACCTAGAAGCATCTTCATCCAAGAAGTATTTCTTACCCAACTTTCCCATTCCAGGTCAAGCAAGAGCCCATCTTTAGGGCTCCCAAAGAATGTAATTTTAAGCACGAGTTTTAATACAATATTTTATTTTAATCACAATTTCTGGATACAGTCCTTACAAAAATTTCCATTTCTAAATTTCTAGACTGTTGCTTAAATTCTTATTGAATGAACAACTTAATGAGTGAAAGAAGGAAGCTGACTTGCTGAAAATATATGCTGATGTATAAGTAAGGTTTCACTCATAATTTTATTTAATCTTTTTAATACATAATCATAATTTAAGGCAAGCATTAAAATCTCCAGTTTATAAAAGAAACTACAGCCAAAGAACTTGAATGAGAAATCAACAATCAGAAAACTTGAGTACAGTAACTTGCCCAAAGTTACAGAGGTAGTAAGTGGCAGAGTTGAGAATCTTACTCAAAGTGGTCTGATTCCTAGAGAATTTTTAATCAGATGAACACATGCAGTTTAAAATAAAATTTGCGCTGTTAGTATCTTTTTTAAAAATCACCACTACAACATGTAGTAGTTTTCCTGTTACAAACATGAGCAAAGAAGCTCCCCTCAGCGGCCCACTTTATGGAAACATTCTTGTCACTGGCTTGAATGAACTGTTGGGTTAAGTAAAACAGGTTGTCACAACTATTTTCCAACCAAGTGAAAATAAATACACTCATCATATACTATAGATACAATACAAAAAATAAAGTTACTTGTTAAGTTCAAATTAATTTTTTCAAAATAATTGTTTTTAATCTATCAGCCATAAATCCAAAAACTTCATTGGATAATTTCAGTCCTTTCCCTTGTAAGTGGCCACTGGTCAGATTAAGTTTTGCTATTTCAGAAGACTATTTCTGCTGAATTATATTACCAAACAGAGGGGTCTGAGCATACCAAACTTTATTTAGTTATCATGTCTTGGTCAAATGGCCTAAAATAAGGGTTTTTAACTACTTACGTCGATATTCAGCTCCAAGTCTCAACATGAGTCGAATGGGGAACACTTTAGCCCAAGGAGTTTCCCATTTCTGGATGAGAATTCCAAACAGGTAAGGTGGGGTTGGGAGTACCAGGTCTTGCAATGACTGGTAGGTAGATGTTACATATAAGAATCCACCATGCTCTTTACTGCCGAGGAAACTCTGACTGAAGAAGGAATGTCCCAAATTGCACACAACATTCCCTAAAATGAAAAAGTTCATTATTTTTATCAACAAATCTATCAGATTCTTTTTTGGTACCAGGGATTGAACTCACAACCACACACTTGCAAGGCAGCTGCTTATGCCGTTGAGCTAAATCCTTGGCATCAATCAGATTTTTGATACTTATTATTAACTAGCATGGACATTCCCAAACACCAATTTCCAAACTTTCGCTATGAAAAATCTATGTTCTTTTTTCAGTGAAGGGCATTTATTAAATCAAAGTTTGTTTTCTAATTTTTCAAGGCTCCTGCTAAGTGTGAAATAATTTTGTATTATCACAATGTAGAAGCTGATGTAGTTAACAGCCAAAAATATTGATATTCTCCTTAAACTGTACTATTTTATCAAATGAACTGTGTTAGCAATCTCAGAATAAGAATTACTGGCTCAAGGTCTAAAGAATGGTCAAATAAGGTGCCTATTTTAAAAACCATTTTATTGGTTGAGTAAACAAAGTCATCTAATGAGCATAACAAATTAAGCAGAGTTAGGAGACATTAAGGAAAGGATTTTTGGGAAAAAGTACCACAGACAGGATTTATTCTTTGTAATTCTGGTTGAGGCAAATATGAAATATAAATCTACATCTTAGAGCTTATTTAAATCCATATTAGATCTGGTATGGTGGCATATGCCCGTAATCCCAGTTCCTCAGAAGGCTGAGTGTGGAGGAACAGAAGTTTGAAGCCAGCCTGGGCAACATAGTAAGACCTTGTCTCACATATAAAACAACACAATAAGTCTCTATTAGGTAGGTGTTTTCTTTTAATTAAACATGTTATTTACCAAATAGATCTTAATTTAAATATTTTGGGAATAAAACAGTAGCAAATATATTAGGCCCTCATTACAGAGAGAGTTTATACTTACAAAAACTTCCTGACAAGAGCTGCTCAGTAATGGAACAGCAAATTCTTGTTGTGGTACTGGGAATGAACTACAGTCCCAGTCCTTTAAATGTTGGGGTTTTTTTGGGGAGATACGACCTCATGACATGGCTAAGTTGCCCAGAAGAGCCTCAGACTTAACAATCCTCCTGGCTGTCTCCAAAAATGCGAGGATATATGTGCGCACCACCACATTACCATGCCTGGCTAAAAACTTCTTTCGATAGCCCTAAAACCAGTAATACCAAATAAGAAAATGGTATCCAAGAAGTCAATGCTTAGTTTTCCTAAAAACTACAATATGCTTCTTTAATGGTTATGAGTGTTAGAATCCTGCTAATGAAGTGGGACTGTACGTTGACAATAAGATCCAGAGTAAAGGGAATGTCTCCCTATAAAATTTAGAGAAGTTTTGCTGCTGAAAAAACTGGTTCACTTTAACATAAACATGTATACTTTAAAGTAATATATTTAAAAATTTAGGAGTAGTACTCTTACCACAGTGTCAACCAAGTCTGGCTGCACAATTAACTTTCTGGGCCAGATCAGGAGAAACAGTCCTCCTACCAAGAAAGCAGCATATTATTTTGAAAAATTTTTTTTATAAAGTGCAGATTTTGGAGTCACAGATATGGGTTTGAATACTAGTTTGAACAGTCCATATGGAACTTGGGACAAGTTACTTAACCTCTGTGAGCAACAATATGTGCAACTATATTAAATTTCAGACTTATGAAAAAGAAATGATAGAACATATGTAAAATACCTAACAGCACTGTCTATACAATGTGTTCTGAAAAACTGTAACTATTATCGTTCTAACACAAATATATATATAATGATTAGCCTAATGTTGTTTGTAAGATTATTTTTAATCAAAGATTGTAGAGAAAGACTTGTTCAAATTCTCATCCCTTCTGGCAATCACTGCAGAGTTGGGGGTAGTGTGGCATGCATTTTTGGATGTCTACAAGTCTCACTGTGAACAAGAAGTTGGAAGTAATGAGTACCAAAGTATTCTCTCAGGGCTTCTTTTCTCCTGGTGCTTTCCTACTGAATGATTAAAAAAAAATTTCCCAGTGACATCACACCAACTAATTAAATCCTTCAACTCACAATTTTTTAATTAAAATCCCTGATATGTCAGACAGTTTATTTTAGGGATAAATACACAGAACTGAGCTACAGAAATAAAAATCTTACACTCATGAAGCTTTCATTCTATAGAGGGAGACAATTTCAGTCAGTAAAATTAGAGAGAAATGCTTGAAAAAAAAAAATAAAATGATGTCATGCAATAGGTTAAGGGGGCCAGAGGAAAGGAAACTTCTTTAGCCAACAGGGTCTGGGAAAATCCTCTGAACAGAAAACATTTGAGAATAGACTACAACAAAGAGGAAAAAACCAGTCAGTTAAGATCCAAATAGTACTCCAGCTCATGGAAAGATTAGTTGCAGAAGCCATGAACTGGAAATTAGTCTGATGAGTTCAAAAGCACAAAGATGATCAATGTAGTTTAAGCAAACTAAGCAGTCCAAGATGAACTCAGTAACCTTTACAAGCTAGATAATAAAGGACCTTATAAAGCCAAAGGAAGTCTGAAGTTGATTGTAATTGCAGTGGGAGGGTCTGGGATGCAGTTCAGTGGCAGGACACTTGCCTACGGTAGTGTATCTCAGTGTCACAAAAAAAAAAAAAAAAGGAAAGGGAGGAAAGTAAAGGAGTGAGGAAGAGAAGGAAATAAAACATAGAACAGATGGTAATGGGAAGCCCACAAAAAAGTTTAAAGCAGCTTCAGTAGTGTCATCATGTCTACGCCACTATGTTACATAAATGTACTCTCAGTTCCCAAGAATAAAATCTAGCCTGAGGGACAGCTGGAGGAACACACATGGCCCCAAATGTAGAACTACAAATGACTCAAAGAAAACAAAAAGCAGCATGCACACAAATGTGAAATGACTGATAATAATACATATATTGATACATATATATTCTACATTTATCATTGTCTTGTGTTCCAAAGTTAAATCTAAAAGCTGAAAAATCAGTAGTAGTCTAAACTCTATTACATTTATATAAAAAGAAATCAATTAAAATTAATATTTTCTTGGACAGTTTTCTTTTATTCTAGGTTTTTTTTATTAGTACATGTTTGCTGTACACAAAGATTACATTCCTCGTGGGGAGCTGCTTAACATATCTTAATTCTCTTTATTTCCCCTTTCCCGCCTCCCTATCCCTCCATCTCTAGATCCGCACCCTATTTGCAAAAGATTCATCTTCCTTTCCTCTTAACTTCGTTGCTTGAAGAGAGCAATACTAAACAGGAAGGTAGCTCTTAAGAATGTAACCTAAAAGCCACACACGGTGGTGTTCGCATGTAATTCTATCTGGGAAGCTGTGGAGGAAAAACTGTGAAGTCTGATGCCAGCCTAGGAAAATTAGTGAAACACTGTCTAAAAATAAAAAATAAAAAAAAGGGCTCAGGACACAGCTCAGTGATACACCACTTGCCTAGCATCCTTGGAGCCATGGGTTCAGTCTCCTAAGAGGAAGGGAGGAAGAAGAATAGGGAAGGAGGGAAGGGGGAAAGGAAAGAAGGAGTGATAGAGAAATGAAAGAGAAATAATATTTTAAAAGACAATAATTTTAAAATAACAAAATAATTCTTAGATCAAAAGTATACTTTGAGCACTCAGCAGTAAAAGTAAATGAACAAAATGTAGACAAACTAATGAACCAGAAAAAGAGTCTAAAACTAGACTCATAAATATAAGATCAAAATATAATACTCAGAAAATAATATAATATTCAACAGTTTCAAGCCAGGCACAATGGTACTTATCTGGAGTACTAGCTACTGAGGAACCTGAGGCAGGAAGATCACCGGTTTGAGCCCAGATCCAATTACTTAACAAGACCTTGTCTCAAAATAAAAAATAAAAATGGCTGAGGATATAGTTCAATGGAAGAATGTTGTGGTTTCAAAATCCCCAGTGCATGGGGTCAGGAATATAGCGCAGAAGCACAAGTGCCTGTCTGATAAGCACAAGGTTGAAGTTTGATCCCTGCTACTCTCCCACAAAAAAAAAAAAAAAAAAAAAAGAAAGAAAGAAAGAAACAGTAATTCAATGGTTAAAAAAAAAGTATGTCTTTTAAACACCCAGATACATATTTTTTAAAAACCTTCAAGCCTTACCATATCCACTGTATGAAAATTGAACCAAAATGAACCACAAGGTCTAAAGACTTCTAGAAAACAATAGAGAAGAGTATAGATATAAAAGACCAACAAACTGAGCTTCAACAAAATTTAGCAAGCTGCTCTTTGAAAGAGTTTACAAGAATGAAAAGAGCCATGGTCTGGAACAAAATATCTGCAAAATATATTACCTGACATGAGTGTTGCATCCAAAATTTATAAAGTACTAAAGACTCAAGAAAACAATCTAATTTTTCATGGGCAGAAGATGAGATATAGAGAGTGCAATGATCTGGGTGTCCCGAAGTGTCACTGTGAGGGAAGACTGGTTGTAGTGGGAGACACTGTGACACCTTTAAAAGGCGAGGCCTATTGGAAGTCCTTGGGAGTCCTGTCCTCTGAAGGGACCAAGGGAGTTCTTGAGTGGTTATTATTTATGAAAGGAGAAACGCTGGGGCCACCTAGTTCTATTTCCTGGATATTCTCAGAATATGTATAACCAACTGTCCTGGGCCCCTCACCAAACTGAGCCAGTACAGACCTCATGCTCTTGAGCATTCAAAACTGTAAGCTAAATAAGTAGCCATGTGGATTATTTTGACATAGCAATGAAATACAATGATGTAACCAATATGAGATGGCAAATAAGGAAACAAGAAGATATTCAGTATCATTGGTTACTACAGAATGCAAACTAAAACCACAATGAGATACCACTGTATACCATTAGAAAAACAAAAAGTGCTAACAAGGATCTGTAAGAACTGGAACTTAACATTTCTCATATACTGCAGGTGAATGGATAAATAAAGTGTACATCCATTTTTACAGTGGATACTACACAGAAATAAAAGGAACAAATTACTGATACATGTAATCATAT